ATCTGAATGAGCCTGGAAATGGATGCTTCCCCAGAGCTCCCACATAAGAGCCCAGTTTGCCCAAAACTTTGATTTCAGCCTTGTGAGACTCTAAGCATGGAACCCAGTTGAGCCCACCCAGACTTCTGACCTACAGGATTGTGAGTGAAAAAATGAGTTTTGTTTTCAGCCACTAAGTTTGTGGCAGTTCGTTCTGCAACTGTGGAATATGAATTCAAGGCACATTCAGAACAGCCTGGAGGGAAATGTGGAAGGCACACACCTATCCTTGTAGAGATATTTGAATGTTCACAAGATGCTACGTATCAGGTTTAAGAACTCATTCCCTTTTCCATATGATCACATCTACTACTACTCTTTCCTAACTTCCAACCCTCTTTTTGATTCTATTAAGAACTCCTCTCCTACTTAGCTCTGTCTCCTGGCCTGATCCACCAATCTCAATTTTCATCAACCCTCTGGTGAGATTTGTAGCTCACTAGGATCTGGTCCTATCCTTTCTCCTCCCTTTTTTGACCCTACCCATCCATCTGTCTCGCTTGTTTATTTTTTTGTTTTGTTTTGTTTTTTTCTGTGCCATAGCTCTGTTGAATAAAAGGGAATGCTAAGTTAATTTTGTTCCTTTTCCATAAGTTTCATTCCCTTTAGAAATAATTAATCTTGTACTCTGACAGTATATACAAAACAACTGTGGATATTTAAAGAAAAATGCAATGAAGCCTGGTATGTACTACTTTTACAAACAAGCACACATCCTTATCATTCTTTATGTCTGTGCTATTTATTTCCATTGTTTTTTTTAATTGACGCAGATATCATACTTTGAAAATGTTTCTGAGTAGGAAAGAAATTGTAATTAAAATAAAACAAAGGAAACACTAATTTACCACATACCTGGAAAAAAAAATGCCATTTAGAACTTTCATAGCTAGAGAGGAGAAGTCAATGCCTGGCTTTAAAGCTTCAAAGGACAGTCTGACTCTCTTGTTAGGGGCTAATGCAGCTGATGACTTTAAGTTGAAGCCAGTGTTCATTTACTGTCCTGAAAAGCCTAGCGCCCTTAAGAATTATGCTAAATCTACTCTGCCTGTGCTCTATAAATGGAACAACAAAGCCTGAATGAGAACACATCCATTTACAGCATGGTTTACTGAAAATTTTAAGCCCACTGTTGAGACCTAGCTCTCAGAAAAAAAGATCCCTTTCAAGATATTACTGCTCATTGGTCATGCACCTGGTCACCCCAGAGCTAAGATGGAGATGTACGATGAGACGAATGTTGTTTTTATGCCTGCTAACACAGCGTCCACTCTGCAGCCCATGGATCAGGAGTAATTTCAACTCTCAAATCTTATTATTCAGGAACACATTTTGTAAGGCTGTTGTTGGTTTAGATAGTGATTCCTCTGATGGATCTGGGCAAAGTGAATTGAAAACCTTCAGGAAAGCATTCACCAGTCTAGATGGTGATTCATGGGAAGAGGTCAAAATGTCAACATTAATAGCAGTTTGGAAGAAGTTGATTCCAACACTAATGGATGACTTTTAGAAGTTCAAGACTTCAGTGAAGGAAATGAAGTAACTGCAGATGTGGCAGAAATAGCAAGAGAACCAGAATTCGAAGTGGAGTCTTTGAAGACGGGACTAGATTTCTGCAAACTCATGATAAAACTGGATGAGGAGTTGCTTCTTATGGATGAGCAAATAAAGTGGTTTCTTGAGATGGAATCTATTCCTGGTGAAGATGCTGTGAAGATTATAGAAATGACAACAAAGGATTTAGAATATTACACAAATTCAGTTGCTAATTTACAGTATAGTGTAAACATAATTGTTACATGCACTAGGAAACCAGAAAATCCTTGTGACTTGCTTCATTGCAATATTTGATTTATAGTGGTGGTCTGGAACTGAACCCATAATATCTCTGAGGCATGCCTGTATCTGTGTTTCAATAAAACTTTTATCTACAAAAACAGGTAGCAGATCACCTTCAGCCCATGGGCCAGAGTTAGCTGACCCCAGGTGTAGAGTATTATTTTGCATGTTTGTGAAATGAATGAATGAATGCCCAGTGCATCTCTGTGGCTGACAACCTCTTTGAAATGCACATGCTCCCTTCTGTGCTCCCATGAGCTGAAGACAGTGGAACCTGTAGGTAGTTCTTGAGCATCGTTGGAGGCCTTGTTCTCTTTGCTATAAAGACATTCATGAGAAATGCTTAGAGGGCAGGAGAGCTGATGCCACCAGCCTGTCCTCAGACCAGACCGTCACCAGATTTCCTTTGAACTGAATCTCTTAGAGCAGTGCTTCTCACCTGGAGGTAAAAGACCAGTTTTGGGCTTTTTGCTTTTTAATTTCTAATTCGTCATGGACTGACTCTTTGGTAAAATGCAACAAAAATAATGAATAGAAAAATGATATTTTTAAAAAACTCATACAAAATAGAAGCCTAGGGATATGACCTTAGATGCCATAGCAAGTTCAAGTTGCTATGAAAGTTTCTAAATACTTACTTCTCAATTTCTGTGCTTTCTTATCATGAGCTGGTCACTGGTTCATGGACCAAATATGGGCAACCCTGATTTACAGAACTAAGCCTTTTGTGTACCTCCACCATATTCTCTCCCCTTTCTCATGGGTTAGAATTTTATGATCCATCCACTTCAGCAAACAGAAGGAGAGGTGAAATTTTTTCATTTGTTTTCTTCCATATTCATTCATTCGACAGATATTTGTTGAGCACCTGCTGTGCGCCTGGCACTGAGCCAGGTGTGGGCACGCCACAGTGGACAAGCCCAGCCCAGCCCCCACCCTCCTGGAGCTCTCAGCCTAAGGAAAGAACAGATGTTAAGCCCATGAACTGTGATGAGAGCCATAGAAAAAACTGGGTGCTCTGGAGGGAGTAATCGGGGCTGACTCAGGTCATGGAAGGCCTTTCTGGGGGAGCAACATTTAAGCTGAGAAATCAAGGATGAGAAGGCATTAGCCCTATAAAGAAGGGGGTGGAGGGAAATGCATTCCAGGGCAGAGAGAAGAGCATGTGCAAAGGCCCTGAGTCTAAAGACATATTCTTGCAGTTTTGTCTGTGTCTAGTTAAAAATGAAAAATGTATGTACCCTCTGACTTAGCAATTCCTCTTCTTGTATCCATCCTAGACAAACATTCTAATGTTGTCCATTCTATCTTGGATTGTGATAGAAAAAAAAAAAATTGGAATCGACCTAGAATCCATCATCAGGAGACTGGCTGAATGAGCAGTGATATTCCTTACTTTGAATTTCCATTCAGACACTAAAATGAGTGAAGTGACTGAGAACACGGCTTGAGCAGAGGGAGGAGGGAGCCTGGAGAAGGCAGAGGTCAGAGGGGTGAGCAGAGCCCACGTAGGAACACGTCACCCAAGGAGTTTAGATTTGACTCTAGTTGCACCAGGAGACAGACTGTACTGAAAACACCGTTAACCATCCCTGGCAGATGAAGCAAAAGAAGGTGCTGTATAAATATAGCTTGTTGCTGTCGTCACTGTCATCACTGAAACTGAGCACCGTCTAGTGCAGAAAATCCTTTCACACCCATTATTGAGAGGTATCGAGAGAAGGAAAAGAAAACCTAGACTTCAGAGTTACCTGCTGATTACAAGACGCTGATCGAGTGACCTGGCTTTCTGAACCTCAGTCTCCACATCTTTACAATAGGGAAAGTAATATCGCCTATTTCATGGGATTGTTGTGAAGATGAAAGAGGTGTGTGTTTCTAAGTACCTCACCCACAGCTTTATATGTTCATTCTTTCCCCTTCTTTTCATCTCCCAACAATCCTGCCAGTGGGGGTCAGCATCTTATTTCATAAGGGAGGGGACTTCCAGGCTGGGGTTGAAGGAGAAACTGTCCAGGTCACCAAGTAATGAAGCAAACCATCCCGGACGCCAGCACAGACCACTTGACTCAAAATCCATCATTTTTACCTTGCTAAGCATTCTCTTTATTTATGGGAGTGAATGGGTGAGAAGGAGGGAAACCATAGCTACAAAACCATCCCCAGAACTAGCAGAGTTCTTTTTAAAAACTTCAAATTTAAATAGTATTGAAATACTATCGTACACCCATAAGACAAAGGTAAGCTAAGTTGATTATATTTTCAATAAAAATGCAATGTATGGGCTACTGGCGGGTCAGCCTCCTCCCTCAATACAATTCCTTCTCCAACCAGTGGCTCATGGAATTGGTGCCTGTGCCTTGGGGAAGCATGTCAGAGTTTGGCTGAAACAGAAGGCAGATTTGTAAGTGTGGCCTTTGGATAAGCAGGTTCACCCATGAGAAGAGTGGGGAGTGTGTCTTAGGGTGAAGGGGCATCATCTTTACAGAGGAGAGATGGTTCATGTAATACCTTCACCCCAAATCCTGATGTACTTTTAAGCCATACATGGAGCTAGTCCTTGGAGTAAGGGGTTGTAAACTCACTACCCTCAGGGCCAGGCAGGAAGCCTGAAGCTGACTGCGTGTGCAAAACATGAGATGCTCTTAGCCTGCCTTTCCCTTTCGCAGTTTTGAACGTGTCCTAGGACGAAAAAACACCAAAAAAACTGCAATGAAAAAATAGTACCTTAAAACTAGCCTCTATGTCTCAGAGACAATATGGGCTCCATGGTGACCTGGGAAACACACAAATCGGGAGCTACGGGGGCAGCCTGTCATCACACGGGAACACAGGGATGAGGTTTCTAGGTCATCCTGTTGCTCAAGAGAAGCCATAAGTCTAGATTTTTTGGAGAAATCTCCTGATTTTTAAACAAAAACAACCAATTTCAGGTTTTCCTTTAAAATACACAGGCCAAGCAAGACACGTGTGTAGGCTAAGTTCAGCTCACAAACCACCAGTTTGCAACCAGTCTGGAAGCTGATAAAACCACGTGCTGTCTTGACGCAGTAGCTCTTCTGCAGGTGACAAGGAAGCATCCTAATTATGTGTGCCTGGTGATTCTCTCTCCTCCTTCCAAGGCATCAAGACAGAAGACAGCTTGAACCATTCCCCTGGCCAGAGTGGATTCCTCAGCTATGGCTCCAGCTTCAGCACCGCCCCCACTGGACAGAGCCCGTACACCTACCAGATGCACGGTGAGTGTGGCGCTGCGGCCCCTCCCTGCCGTCTCTAAGGCGCTGCCTGAGCTGGGTGTCCAGTCGTTCATTCATTTATTTAGCAGTTTTACTGAGAACCTACTGTGTGCCAGGATCTATCTCAAGTACTAGAGTTGCAGTGGTGGACAGAGGAGATACGACTTCTGCCCTCATGGCAATTACAGGGCAGGAGGGAGAGACTGACAATCAACAAGGCAGCAAATAAGAGGTGTTGAATGCGATGAAGCAAATAAAAGTGGTGTTCAGATAGAGAGTGACGAATAGTTGAGGGGTCAGGAGAGGTGGGAGAGGTAACTTTAGATAGAGTCATCGGGGAAGGCTCTTTGAAGACGTGACATTGGACAGAGACCCAAAGTATGAGGCAGAACCAGCCATGTGCAGACCTATGGGAAGAGCATTCCAGGCAGAGGGAACAGCCCTTGCAAAAGCTGTATGGAAGGAAGTGTCTTAATGTGTTCGAGGCGCAGAATAGGAGCCAGTGGGGCGGAAGCAGGGTCAGGGGCATGTGAGAGGAGAGAGCCTTGGGGAGAGAGCAGGACCAAATCGTGCAGGGCCTTGAGGACTGAGGGAAGGTGTTGGCTTTGATTTTAACTGTGATGGGACAGGCAAGTCCATTGTAGGCTCAGAGAAATGCCTGGTGTTGGGAATACTGGACAGTAGGTAAAGGAGCTATTATTCCAGGCAGGAAGTTCTGGGCTCTGCATCCCCACTGGGTAGCCTTAGAAAGGGAAGAAACTCCAGTGTGGAACTCCCACCCCGCATACCCTAAGAAACCAGCCTGCTGGGTTCTCCTGTGCCCACCTGCACTCTGTTACCATCCAAAGGCCCCTTCTCTTCTCTGGTGCCCCATGGGGAGCATGTTGGAGCTGATGCATGGAGCAGAGGGCTGGTGGCAGTAATTTGGGGGATCCTCACCCTGGTATTTTTTTTCTTCATGAAAGCTGGTAAAAATGACCACCAACAGTCTAAAAAGTAATATGCAAAATGCAAAACCGAAAGAGCAATGACAAGGAAGTGGGCTAATACATGATGCTACTTTTCTTTAAAAAAAAAAAAATGCAGGTATTGCGGCTTCGTCTTTTTAATTAAGGAAACAATTTAAATGGATGTCAAGGGCAGCCTTTCAGGAAAAAGCATTGTGAAGAGACAGCAAGTGATCTTAGGGGTACGTAAAAGAAAGGGGGTGATGAGCATTAACGCCCAGACCTTGGAATAGCTTCCATGTAAAGATCTGCAACGGAGTTTGTTGATGACACCATCAGCTAACATTGACCAAGCACTCACCACGTGCCACAAGAGGTGGCTAATCATCTCATACAACCTTCATGACACTCCAAAGTGTTGGTTCTGGCATAATTCCCATTTTATAGGAGGAGAAACTGCGTCATAGAGGGAGGGAATGCCTGACCTGCCCAGCGTCAGGGCAAGGAGCTTAGATTTTATTGCAAGTGCAGTGGGAAACAGGTTGCATCAAGTCTCTTGGGGGTCTGGTGAACTCCCAAAGCCAATCCTCGCTCAAAGCCTGCTCTTCGCCATGGTACCTCCTGCCTCCTCTGCTTTGGCTGTCATCTCTGTCTCCCCGGGCGGTTTTTCTGAGTCCCACTGAAGGGAATAAGCTGCTGTGACCCCTCCTCAAATGGAGAGTGAATTATGACACAATCCTGATCATAAAGGCTTGTGAAGACAGTGAACTTGAACTTGCATTTGGGTCAATCTCAACCAGTTTTTTTCAGCTCTTTTTATAGAAATGGAACTGACTGCCTCAGGGCTTCTAAGGAGACAGACAATGATCAATTAAGTAAATCGATCCTTACAGATTGTGCTAAATCGCGTGAAGGACCAAAACAGGGTGGTGTGATGGGCCATGATGAAAGGAGTGGTGATGGACGCTACCCAGGTTGTTAGGGAGACCTGAGTGAGGGAAAGAAGCCAGCCTGTGAGTAGCTGGAGACTGGACAGCCCAGGCAGAGGGCCCAGCAAGGGCAAATGCCTGGAGGCAGGAAAAGGCTTGCAGTGTTGAAAGAGTCCAAAGGAGTCTCATGAATCTGGGTGTAGAGAGTAGGTGAGATGAGACTGGAAAGTGAAGCAGGAGGCCTCCCTGGACTGGGTCATAGAGAATATGTTATTTCTCCTCTGGTCCTTGCAGCAGCCATAGGAGGTGGGCCGCATCAGCTCTGCTTTACACATGATGAACGTGAGGCTCAGAGAGGGGAAGTGACTTACCCAAGGATCCCAGGGCCAATAAGTGTTGAGAGCTGGGATTCAGAGTAGAATTCCAGAGGCTATGCTGTTTCCTCCAAGCGCTATTTCCCGTACTCCTTCAGGACTCCAGATACCGCCCTAGCTCTGCGTATACACCATTCCCCTTGATCTTCCCAGTAGCCCTGTGACGTAGGTTCTGTAATTATCCCCATCTTACAGGTGGAAAAACTGAGGCACAACGTGGTAAAGTAGCTTGCCCAAGGTCACATGGCTGTGGCAATGGGATTTGAAGCCAGGTGGTTCCACTCCAGAGCCCAGGCACGTAACCCCAACACCACCCTGCCCTCCACACTCTCATAGATCCATCTAGAAGATGATCCTCCGTGGATGAGCCCTGGCCTAGACCCCACGACCCGCCGCCATCCCCATCAGCCCCTCACAAATGGAAAAACATCTGCTGCTCTGTTCCCACCCTACCACGGGAATAGTCCAGGTTATTTTCTTATCGTCTTCATGGCCCAAATGCCAGCTGGACTTTGTCCCAATTAACTGCCTTCAGTCTAATGCTAATGGCCATAAACTGCTCTTGAGACAGCCCAGGCGTTTTGCAAGCCTGACATATTCCTCCTTAAGTATTTCTTTTTCAAACACAAACATATAGAAGGCTCACACACCATGCCCATGTGCTTCCTATTAACTTTTTTTTTCAAGTTGTTCCAGAGGAGAAATAAACTCTCCAACTACTCTCTGTGCATTTCAGAATGGAAGACATTGGTTGAGCTTAGTTTTTTGGACAAAGAAGGGAATGAAGAAGGAGATTGAGACTGAATTTTAGGCCTGAAAGTATCGACTTGGCGTAAAACTGGTCCATGTTCAGAAGCCGAGCTGAGTCCTTTTCCTTTCTAAGAATTAAAATCATCATTTTATAGAAGCAAAAAGAACCTGAGTAGAGAGAGACCACTCCATCGTTTACAGATGCGTAAACTGAGGCACCGCAGCAGAGTGGCTTGTGTAGGGTCCCAGATCAAGCATTAAGTAAGCTGGGATAGCTCTCCCTAGGTCCTCTACCTGATCTCAGAAACTTCCAAACATCTCAGCAGAGCCATCTTGCCCGCTCCCCCTGCCACAAGGCCTGGTTGGAGATCTGTATCTGCTTAGATAGCATTGCCCCCCACCTACGTGCAGGAAACGTAGGAGAGAGAAGTTCATGGCGCTCCTTTAGCTTTTTCATGGTTGTTTATTTTCTTTTTTTAAGTTCACCGGAGTTTTTGTAGCTGAAATGTATTTCTTATGGGTTTGATTTTTGTTGTTGTTCCTTTGGCTTCTCCTGCTAAAACACTGCTGTTCACGGAAGTGACCACAAAGATTAAAAAGAGAAGAAAAGAACATCTTGAGAGTGTGGTGTAAGAACTTGCTGGTGCCCCAGAGGGGTTAAGAGCCCTGGACCCGGTTGCAGTTAGGCTGTGTCCCAAGGCATGACCTGGGTGAGGCGCTTGGCTTCTCTGGGCCTCTCTCTCCTCACCTGTGAAACTAGCATCATAGCAAGAGAGATGACCCCATGGGGCTGTTGGAGGACTAGACGGAACGGCCATGGGCACATCCAATGAGGTCCATCAAGGCTGGGTGTACTTTTTATTATGTCTTGCATTGCTTCTGTAACATGAGAGTTAAAAGCAGTAACTCTGAAGTCAGGCTGAGTTCACTTCCCAGTTGTGCAATCCATGTACCAGCTTGTGACTTTGAGCTGAGTTACTTCCTAGTACCTCGGTCTCTTCCCCTGTAAAATGGGAATACGAGTAGTACCTACGCGTGGGGTGCCGTGATAATTAAATGAGTTAATGTGTGTGAAGTATTTCGAACAGCACTGGCACAAACTAAGTGCTCTACAAATGTAAAATATTATTTTTATCCTAGTTTCAGATTTGAGGGTCTTATGTTTTTCCCAACTTCACTTCTCTTTCCTGAACTCTTAGTTTCAGGAAATAATTTTGGTAAGAGAAAAGAGGAATACCAGTTTGAGGCTGTTGAGCCACCCACATCAGCATCAACTCCCCTTCTGGTGAAATCTGCGTTAAAGGGGGGCCTTAAAAACAGTGGAAGCGCCTTTTTCTATGGAAATTTACTTTTGTATTTACCAAAGGCAGGGGTTGTTAATACTGACCTCGGAACCCAACGTGAGCCATTCAGGAGCAACATGGAAACGTGTGATTCGAGGATGTGTAGGAAAACCAAAAGTCCAGTGGAAGGGTCTAAGCTAATCGTCTCAGCCCAAGACCTCTGAGGTCAGTTTGTGCTGGACTTGTGAAATCTAGCACCATTTCTGGTACCAGCAAGCTGTGCGACTTTGGACAAGTCACTGAACTTTCACGATCTGTGTTTCACAGCTCTAGCGCTCACAAATACTCACTGAAAAATAAAGAGGTTGGGGAAGGTCATTGTCAAATACATCAAACACATTTGGTAAATAGTGTGTAGCATGAAGTTAGATGTCTTCGCTCCAGGACTTTTCAGAGCCTTTGCAGACTGATGCACCTTGTGACTCTCCAAGAGAATTCAGTAGTCAGTTTTCCCAGGTAGACTTGAACAGGGACCCTCTGCCCACACTAATGTTCTCTGCTCACTGGGAAGCCCTGGATGTAATGACCATTAGGCCCGTTCCTGTGTTAAAATTCTTTGATTCTGTAATTTTTTTAATGATGAACATGCATGTATTCCTTTTTTTTCCTGTATTTTAGTTAATTTATTTTTTGATGAGATTAATTCACATATCATAAAAT